AACCATCCTGAGCGAGACCCTCTACTAAAAATAGAAAGAAATTAATTGACCACTAAAATATATATACAAAACTAGCCGGGCATGGTGGCGCATGCCTGTAGTCCAGCTACTCGGGAGGCAGAGGCAGGAAGATCGTTTGAGCCACAGGAGTTTGAGGTTGCTGTGAGCTAGGCTGACGCCACGGCACTCACTCTAGCCTGGGCAACAAAAGTGAGACTCTGTCTCAAAAAAAAAAAAAAAAAATTTAATATTATTATTTTTTTAACTAAAAAGACCAATGGCAGAATGTCACAGAATCTAAAAATATATTTCAGAAAGGCAGCAAAGAGCCACTTATTCCTGTTCCTGTTGTCTGGCTTGCACATTATATAAAATATGTGTTAGGTAATTGAACACATCTGAAGTTGCAGTCACAAAATAAATCTGTCAGCCAGCTGTCAGTAATTTACAAGATAAGGTCACAGATATTTACTGTTGAAAGAGTCCTCTGAGACTCCCTGACTTAGCTTCCCATTTTATCAGTAGATACCTGAGACACATGGAGGAATAAGTGATTTTTTTTCCTTAAGTTACACAATTTGTTGGTGGAAAAGATGAAACTGGTATATAAGTTTTAACACCTAAATTCCATTAGAAATTCCAATTTTTTTTTTTTTTTTTTGAGACAGTCTCACTCTGTTGCCTGGGCTAGAGTGCCGTGGCGTCAGCCTAGCACACAGTAACCTCAAACTCCTGAGCTCAAGCCATCCTCCTGCCTCAGCCTCCCAAGTTGCTGCGCCCAGCTAATTTTTTCTATTTTTGGTTGTTTGGCTAATTTCATATCAATATATAACCAGAAGAGGGGCAGTCTGCTTTGCTCAGCTGGTCTTGAACTCCTGAGCTTAAGCAATTCTCCCGCCTTGGCCTCCCAAACTGCTAGGATTATAGGCGTGAGCCACCGCACCTGGCCCAGAAATTCCAATTTTTTAACATTCATTATTCCTCACAGAATAACTCCAGCATAACCTTCCAAATGCTTCTTGGCAGCACGACAGAAATGCCCTTTTTCACTTTCCCACTATTCCTGCTTCTGTTTTCTTGGGTTCTGTCTGCAAATACCATCCCACAGTCTCCATTTCATCCTAACCCCACACGCATTCATACTACCTCCTCTGTCGATTCCCCTTCTAGTAGTAGTTTGTTAGAACACTTTTTCCAAAAGACAGTATTTAGAAAAAGACAAAGTGGATTTTAGTTCCAACTGTTCTGTCCCACAACTCTGTGCACCTACCCAATTACATCTCTGCAACTCCTTTTCATATATTATAAGAAAAACAGTATTAATCACAGATGAGGGAGTTCAGAGGTAGTGTCCATTAATGTATGAAAAGTATATTCTGATAGTTCTTGGCTTGCTGTGGCAAGGAATGATGTGTATGACAATAGATAACATGGGCAAGGTGTCACATTCTCTTAAATTAAAAATGACTCTACAACACGTGAAGTAGTTGCAAGATTTCACAAAATACCCATCACCTGTAATTGTGTTTCATCACAATTTACCAGAATAAATGAAATTCTTACTGATTTGTGAAATGTCCTGTCTGTTTCTCATTCTGTTCCACAAGTCATACTATTGGTTCGAGTTGATTCCTTCAGACTTGTTTAGCAAGTTAGATTTTAATTATGTGGGATTTCCTCCTTTGTCTTCAGCTATAGATCTCACATAACACATGAGAGTCATTCATTTGAGTGGGAACCTCCAAGCAGTTGTAGAGGCAAGAAAAGGACCTCTTCATTAAGGATTAAAATGTATAGGTAAGTCCTGTGCTTGTTCCTTAGATTTAGAAGTTTTACTGTATCTTAGAGCTTGTGAAAAATATACAAAAGCTTAAGAAATTTCAGCTGTCTCTAGCAATCTTCTAGTTATTTCTCCGAAAACTTCAATGAAATGCTTAGATATTGTTTGGATAATATTGTTTAGATTAAGATGCTTAGCTGCTTGACTGAATTTTTTACAAAATGAAAAAAACCTAAAGAGACTGCTTAGCATTAAAACAACATATCTTTAAATAAGGAAGTGTTTTTGTTTCTCATGTTTAACTTTTCAGAAATTGATGTGTGGATTCTAAAAACGTAAGCAGTAAACAATTTATGTGTTGTTTTAAAACTTTGAGGGTTCTGTATTTTAACTTTCATCACAGTATTATCACAAGCTATTAAATATGCCATGAATCCTGAAGTCCATCTTAAGAAAATAAAGACAGTATTTATCTACTTTTTATATAGTTGTAGAATTGGTATTTTCAAGAAAATTTTGCTAATACTTAAGATAAAAAATACTTGTCTAGTTTTCTTTTTAGCTATTGAATAATTATTTTCATATAATTTTACATAAATAGCAGCAAGTTACGGCAAAACTACAGTCAGATGTTACAATCTCAAAACAATGAAAATCATTATATAATTTGAAATGTTTACATGTGCACTTGAATGTATATGTTGTATATATGAAAAACATGATACTGACAATGTTGAAAATAAAATGATATTGAAAACAAAAACATGGACAATGTTTTGGCTACAATAAGTGCAGTTGGATTTATTTTAAGTCTCATGAATATTGGAAAAAATCGAAAGTTAAACCACTTTAAATAATAAAATATATGTACAATTATGTGCACTTGAATATGTATATGATGAAAAATGAGTAGTAATCTAAGTTTCCAACAATAGAAGAAAATAAAATAAATTATTTCATATTCATACAATCAATACGAGGAATTCATTAAAATAGGTTAAAATCTATGAAGTAATTTATACATTGAGTATGTTCTCATTTGATGTGAAAAAAGCTATCACAAAATTGTATTTACTCATCAACTATCATTTTGTAAAGATATACATGTGAAAAAGTCTAATAAGGAATGTGAAAAGCGAATTAGGTTTGTTATATTAAAGTAGTGACCTTATGAATTATATTTTTCCATTATTACTAAACTTTCTATAACAGTGTAATATTGCATTCCGTAATCACGATGCATTTTAAAATGTATTTTGCTAGAACATTTTAATTTTAAAGAAATTTCACTAATTTTTAAAATAATAGCTCCTTTATAAAGCAGCTAAATGACATCAAAATGTCATTCGAAGGAAAACACGTAAATAGCACAAATAATGAAAGAGATGTACATTTTCTTGAATGGCTTGAATGGCTTGAATCAATCTAATTTCTAAATTGATCTATCAAGTACACAGAATTTGACAATCAGTTAGTGCCCACTTTGCCAACGACAAAGAATTTGGTATCTAGGGACCACACTTTTGGAACTATTTTCTCTCTTAAATGGGTGGTATCTACTACTAATCATTAGTAACAGGCTATCCAAATCAGGTAGGTGAAGAGAAATGAAATGGTATAAAATGTTTTTTTAGGCAAGTGTAAGTAATTTTTACATACTTTTAGATAAATCTTCAAATAATTCTGAAATACCTTTGGTTGAAAAGGGCTGTCTTGGATGGTTTGATTGCTTTTATATACAAATTAAACCCCCAGACCTTTTCCTAGTTGTCCTCTCCTGAAGGTTGTGAATATGGAGTGTTCTTTTCTTTATCCACCTTGTTCTCCTCTTCTTTGGAGAAGAAAATCCTACCGCAGGGCCCAGGGGCCAGGGCAGCCATGTCACTCATTTCAGATTCCTGGACATGTTAGATTGTTCTCAGGTCCACCAAGATTACATAAAAAGTACGAGATGAGGTTGGGGAAAGATCTATAAACTGGAATTCAGAATGTGGTCAAAGGAAATATTTAAGGTAATTGAGCATAGCTCAGGAACAGGCAAGTCTTAGCAGGACTCCTTCCACCATAACAAATCTTATTTCCATTTTCTTTCCTTTTGTCCATGCTCATGACATGTTTGACTGCAGAGACATACCAAAGCCAGTCAGATGCCCCGCCTCCCAAGCGCCCAGAGAACAGGAGACAAAAGTGGAGGGGGAAAAAAGCCATCACTGTAAAAAAAAAATGCATTCTGAACTCTGCCTGCTGTTTCAATTTTGTTTTTTGTTTTGTTTTGTTTTGTTTTGTTTTTTGAGATAGAGTCTCACTCTGTTGCCCAGGCTAGAGTGCCGTGGCATCAGCCTAGTTCACAGCAACCTCAAATTCCTGGGCTCAAGCGATCCTCCTGCCTCAGCCTCCCGAGTAGCTGGGACTACAGGCATGCACCACCATGCCCGGCTAATTGTTTCTATATATTTTTAGTTGTCCAGCTAATTTCTTTCTATTTTTTTAGTAGAGACAGGGTCTCGCTCTTGCTCAGGCTGGTCTTGAACTCCTGAGCTCAAAAGATCCACCCGCCTCGGCCTCCCAGAGTGCTAGGATTACAGGCGTGAGCCACCCCTCCCAGCCTCAATCCTGGTTTTCAAATCACTATTTTAACTTTCACAAACCACGCTTAAAATCGTAAATCATTAGGCAAAGGGCATATATCTTAATACAAATTAGGCAGATGGGACCGATTTACCTTTACAGCCATGGAGCCTCCAAATAGTGCATTTAAAGTACAAGTTTTTGTGTAAAAATCTTGGGCTGCGTGCTAAAACAGTCGCCACATTCGACCAGAATGTTTTTCCTAACAGTGGTGTGGGACGGGCCCACGTTATGATACATAGGAGCAGCGGTCCCCAACCTTTTTGGCACCAGGGACTGGTTGCATGGAAGACAACTTTTCTGCAGAGTGGGGAGTGGGGGAGGATGTGGTTTCAGGATGATTCAAGCCATGGCATCTATTGTGCACTTTATTTCTATTATTATTACACTGTTAGCCTCTCTGCTAATGAGTGTCTGTGCCTGTGGCCGCCCCCGGCGCTAGCATCACCGCCCCAGCTCCGCCTCATCACCGGGCACTAGGTTGTCATAAGGAGCCAACCCGATCCCTCCCTCGTGTGGACCAGTTTGCAGCAGGGCTGGTGCTCCCCTGGGAATCTGACGCGGGCCCAGGTGGCCACGTGTGACGCGAGTGATGGGGACCTGCTGCTGTGTGGCCCCACAGGCCATGGACCCTACCGTGGGGTTGGGGACCGCAGCACAGGAGGATCAGCTGCAGTAGGCCATCCGGAATCATCCGGGAATTTTCTAGCAAATTCTCTCGGGTCCACTGCTGATTTGCCCTCCAGCAGGCACTCCTGAGCTGTTTCCTCAGAAACTCATGACTTGTCTGACTCTTACGCCCTCCCAGCCCCCAGGATGAGTGTGGTTGGCACCCCAGAGAGTCATGAGGGACAGAATCAGCTCCTACCGCTGTAAGGGACCCTAAAATCCTTCAGTCCGATTCCTTTAAACATACTGCTCCAACACGAAGGGTCCCGCTCTCTTGAGCAAGGAAGGCTTGGCATGATTTCACAGCTGTTGAGGCCCTTCCACAATTATATCCCATCAGCTAACTGACCTCTCACCACTTTGCCCAGCATAACAGTTACATGGCATGACATTTTAGTTATTTATCTATTTTTATTTATTTATTTTTTTGAGACAGAGTCTCACACTGTTGGCTGGGCTAGAGTGCTGTGGCATCAACCTAGCTCACAGCAACCTCTGACTCTTGGCCTCAAGTGATCCTCCTGCCTCAGCCTCCCAAATAGCTGGGACTACAGGCATGCGCCACCATGCCCAGCTAATTTTTTCTATATATTTTTAGTTGGCCAATTAATTTCTTTCTATTTTTAGTAGAGACTGGGGTCTCACTCTTGCTCAGGCTGGTTTCAAACTCCTGACCTTGAGCAATCCTCCCCCTCCCAGAGTGCTAGGATTATAGGTGTGGATCACCATGCCCAGCCTGGCATGATATTTTAATTCCCTTCATTTTTTCATGGCTTTACCACTGATGGCTATATTGCTAAAAAAAAGTCATATGGTTCAGTTCTACCTGCACATGAAGTTCATATAAGTGAGTTCAAAATTGTATTTTGTTAATATAAGGTGTGGAATAGCTAATTCATGGTCACAGCTATAATGATATTCCATTTTCAGAGTATCCTATCACTAAAATATCCACTCTTGTGGTACTTTTCCATTACAAATAATGTAGCTCTGCACATTCTTGAACAGGTCCAACGGCACAAATATGCAAGAGCTTCTCTTGGTATGTTCCTACAGATGGACTTTCTGGGTCACGTGGTGTATTCATTTTTGTCTTTAATCTATTTTCTCTTTTCTGATTACAAATACGTTCCCATTGCCACAGCTCTGAAAGAGCTCTGTGTTTTAATAGTGGGAACTAAACCAATCTAGGAGTTCATGAAAGGCCTGAGGAAACTTGAATGCAGAACTAAAGCAGAAACTGAAATACAGGCTGAAATCAGATCATGCTGATCTTTGAAACCATATTAAGGATTAAGGCAGTGGGAGTAGCACTAAAACTTGAGTCATGTCTACATAGAAAGGACCAGACTTGGCATTCAACTGGATGTGAGGGATGAGAGAGGTGTCATGTATGATTTTTTTTCAGCATATTACAGGGGTACAAATGTTTACGTTACTTATATTTCTCTTGCCCCACCTGAGTCAGAGCTTCAAGTGTGTCCATCCCCCAGACGGTGGGCACTGCACCCATCAGGTAGGTGGGACGGGGTGGACGGGATGGGTATAATCAAGTATGACTTTCAGGTTTTCAATATGAGTAACCTGGTGAATGCTGCTGCCATTTACTCAGAAAGAAAATGCCAGACTTTTGGTCTATTTGATGGAACAGAGAAAGGTCATTAGCATTAGAAAGGAGAAGCCAATCAATTCAACTTTGGAAATGTTCAGTTCTAGGCACCAAGTAGAGATGCAGTGAGATATTGCAGTCTGGAAATCGTGTACAGATCAGTGTTTCTCAGAGTGCAATCTCTGGTTTGTCTATGAATGTCTGAGTCTCCAGGGTATATGAGAAAAATGCAGATTTATGAGCAGCAGGACCAGACCTACTGAAAAGTGTGTCTGGGCAGGTGTTGGATACAGTACAGGAATTTGCACTTTTCCAAGCTCCTCAAGTAACTCTTATGCACACACAAATTTAAGAACTGTTGGCTTCGATGGTAATAGAAACTGACTGAATGAGATCAACTAAAAAGAAATGAGAACACTCGGGACAGAGCATAGAACAACGCCAGACACTTAAGGTTGAATGGCAGAGAGTGAACTATTTAAGTTCACCCTAGTTTAAAAGATATTTAAAGTGAAGGTGGGGCCAGAAAGATAGAGTATAGAATCATGAAAATCAAAAGAAAAAAAAGTGTTTCAATAAAAAGGAATATTCAAAGGTAGGAAATGCTGCTAAGAGCCCTATCATCCCTCAGAAAGACACGAGTACTTCAAGGCAAGGACAATTCTTTGGCCATTTTTCAAAATCCCCTGAGTGCCTAGCAGAATGTTACAGTAAGTACTCAATAGCTGTTAGTTTTTTCAACATTCATTCAATAATCATTGTATTTACAGAGCACCCACCATGTCCTGGGTTGCCAAAACCAATAAGGCCTCAGAAAAGGGCATAGACAAAAAAGTCGAGAGGCCTAATTCCTGACCCCTCTGTGGCACCAATTACTCTGTCTACAGATTAGTTAGTTTATCTGCATAATAGGCAAGTTGGAGTGGACATTTTTGAAGCTCCATTCTGTTGCTAACATTCTATGATTCTAAAGAATGCTACCAATTTTACAAAATATTAGTATAAAAGATTGCATCATTGTGTGCACCTGGAATATATACAATTTTTACTTGTCAATTAAATATTCTAAATAAAATGTAAAATGTATATCAGTTCTATCATATGTTTAAAATTTATATTCAGGAGAGAGAAAAGAATCACTCGTGTATGTGGCTCTTCCTGCCAGTATTAAAAACCATGGCAATGGCTGGGCATAGTAGAACATGCCAGTAGAACATGCCATAGTAGGGCATGCATTAATAGTAAAATGTAAATCCTGTCACCTTGGAAGGCTGAGATGGGAGGATTGCTTGAGAGCAGGAGTTTGAGACCAGCCTGGGCAACACAGTGAGACCCCATCTCTACAAAAATAAGAAAATAGGAAATTAAAAAAAAAAAATTAGCTGGACTAGCTACTTGGGAGGCTGAGCCAGAAGGATTGCTTGAGCCCAAGAATTTGATGCCATTTAATCCCATACCAGTGCTCTCTAGCTTGGGTGACAAAGTGTGACCTGTCTCTAAAAAAAAAAAAATGCAATATTCACCGAGTATATAGGGCCTCACTTTCATCATTGAATCCATTCTCTTATTGTACACATTTACTTAATGAACAGAGTATTGAAAAGAAAATATATCTGCAGCATTTTTCATGACCTCTGAGGAATACACTCTCTAGAATAGGCCTCAAAAATGTTCCTTGTGTAGACTTTGGGACTCTGTATGTTTCATTATGACACAGAATCATCCTGAAAAAAATGCTACTGAGAAGCTTAATTCTCTCCTTTGCAGTCTGTCTGGGCAAGATGCAACTAGGATTCAATTCAGAAGGGATTGAGTACAAGATGTTTCTAAAAATATATTGATACAGCTAAATGTTAGTCAAGAGCATTTGAAACAACTAATCTTGGGTTTGGTCCATGATTCACTGGAAACCCTTTTTTTGCTATAAGAACAATTATCTTTTACTAGATTGAGTTAAATAGAATTGTCAGGTTTAGTCTCATTCTGAGTTCTCAGTTCTTGGTGTGCTCATGGCCGAAGAATCACCAGACACACCAAAGTAAGGCAAGCATGAGGTGAAATTTATTGGGGGGGAGCAAGACAGGATTATAGGGCAAGAGCAAGATACAGGTTTACAGAGCAAGATGCATCCTCACAGATGACGACTGGACCCGCTGTCACAACAGGAAAAGAGAGTTTGGTTATGGTCTGCGACTTGTTTTATAGTGCCTGGATTGGGACCTCCCCAGTGGCTCAGACATCACTGTGGAACCACTTTGATTGGACAGTTGGGAGTTGCGTTACTACGCATGTGAGTTGTTCTAGGTCAGTTTCTGGACTCTATGATACCTATGCTGCTTGGCCCATGGGCTAGAGAGTCCTCTGCATTCTTTTACAGCTGGAGTGCTGAATTCTGATGGCAGATTCATGGGGTATTCCCTCCTCCCTCAGGTATGGGAGTAGCTCAGAGCAGGATTGGGGTCGGGCATGACCAAGATAGGGGTCTAGGGCCCACCTTGTCCTTCTTCCCAGGTGGGGCAATGGCACCGAGGCAACAGCACCCACTTTGGCCCCTAGGAGACCGGAATCCCTTGCTACCTACCTAACAGAATGAACCATGATGAGTAGAAATGGGGCTCTGATTCCAGCCTCCACTCTTCCCCCTAAATGACTGGTAATAAACCCTAGCCAGTTGCCCCAAGACGATAGTCCCAGGATATTTCTGGATTCTCCATTCTATCATCTCCTCTACCTTATTTCACCCAATATGTGCTGAAATGTCTTTCTTCCTCTAGGCCTAATTGTCTCCTTGGCAATTGTTAGAATCTTCTTATGTTTATGTCTACATATAAAACAATCAGATCAATCATTGGAGGATGCACACATTTGGAGCAAAAACCACTGCCATATGCTCCTCCAGAGTGTGAGGTACCAATTCCTCACCTCTTTGGGACTCTACTTTGTAAACAGACAGTGATGGGTGTGGAATATCCTGACACTTTCTATTGACTATTACAAATCGAGTTACACTGAGCTGAGCATAGGAGCTCCTAAATCCCCTATCCATTTATTTCCTTAAAAAGCAAACACGTATGTACACGTTATGCATCACTTAATGACAGAAATAAGTTCTGAGAAGTGCGTCGTTAGGCAATATCTTTGTTGTGCGAACTCCATAGAGTGTGCTTACTCAAACCTACATGGTACAGCCTCCCATACACCTAGACTATATGGTACAGGCTACTGCTCCCAGGCCACAAACCTGTACAGCATGTTACTGTGCTGAATACTATAACACAGTGGTAAATATTTCTATATCGAAACATATCTAAACATAAAAAAGATACATAAAACACAAAAATAAGGTATTATAATCTTATAGGACCATTGTTGACCAAAATCTCATTATGTGACTCAT